TAAAAGCAGATTTCCTTTGTTGAATTATACCTCAGTACTTTTAAACCATTGATAAGAAAGTCAACGAAATATATAAATAAAGAACCTGTAAATAGCTTGTCCAGAATCCAATACCACCCAATCAATAGCGAAATCTACACTACGTACGAATAAGCTAAGGCGACGCAAAACAGAACAAGCGGTAAACAGGAGTGCTTCAGGACGAATCTCCAACAAACTTAAAAACGATAACTAGAAAAATAGATGCTGGTAAAGGCCACTGAAGTTAACAGTAACAGTAACTCACCTAGCATAATCAGCTTTATGAATATACGCAACTTTTGCTTCTCCGCATGCGCGAACTGTATAGAAAGATGGCTCACTAGTTAGCAGCCAAAGTCCTCCAACCAGTTCTTTCGGATAAACTGAGATTGTGGTCCCATCTGCACTATCATCCTCATCATCGAAAACTGGATGCTGTAGGTATATATATTAAAAAAATGTATAATGGTTTCTGTAATTCAAAAGCTACTAGCTATTAAAAAAACATTCACCTGGTAAAGTTTGAGAGTCCCATAAAGAACTACGAACAGTCTATCTTCTTCACTATTTTGTTCAGTTAAAATGCCATCTGATGGAACAGTAATCACATGTACCCGCCCATTCAAAAATTTAGTTGCCTCTGAATGTCTGCTTAAATTTAAGGCTTCCGCAAAATAACGACAAGCTAATCCTAGATCATCGCAAGCCTCTAAAAATACACTAAACAATAAGTAACTGAACAGCTAACCAAAATGTACTCCAGAAAAACTATAAATACCTTCATTTCCTAGTGAAAAAGATTTTGCTGGCGGGCACTGCCGTCCCGCCCTTGAGTAGTCTGTTCTCTCCTCTAGGATTTTCTTCTCTTCCCTCTAAAATTTTTTTCAGTTACTAAGCCGTTAGTGCTTCTCTTTCAAGTATAAGATAAATCGAGCGAGACTGGGAAGCAAAAATTAACTGTTTTTTAGGGAACTACGAAAAGAATTAGGGGTTCACAAAAAAGTCAAAGTTCACCCTTCTTAACAGTTCACTTCGAAGACCAAGGTATTGGTGAAGTGTCGTCATAGTCACATGCAATAACCTAGTAATGGCAATTTGAATAGGTCGAATCCAACCGCGAGGGTTTTTTAGGTAGAGTGATCGAAACGACAGCATAGAGTACCTGTAAAAACTGTTGTAAAGTCCAAATTAATTCTCAGGCAATTCTACCAACAGTTTAAGAAAAACCTTGCTATTCGACAATCCCGTAAAGCCCGTACAGATATGCTCTTAAATTTACATTCTAATCCCTGAAAACAATTTTAGACTATAAATTTGAAGTGAAAATTCTTCCCACCCCAAGAATTGATTCGAAATAATAAAAAAAGTACCATTAATATTTCCAAAATTGAAAGTGGACTAAAAAAGCTGTCGCCAGTGTTTATACGGCGCACCATATATTCTTTGCTTTCTCCATACTAAAATGTCAAAAAATATTACCAGAAACCATAAAACCGCATAAATGAACAACCTGTCTCATGAGTCAAACAAGTGTTTTAATTAAATTGATAAAACAATGACCAACAGCAACATGACTTTGAGTTTTTGTAAATGTCATTTTCAACAATGACAATAATTACATGTATGTAAACCGCAATAGTTCCTTCAAGAACCACGATCATTCCCTGATCAGGATCTCCATTTCTAATAATAAAATCGCCCGAAGCATGATTTTCAACATTTATGTCATTAACATTCAAAACCCAACTCGATGGTAACTCAAGTGTTCTGGAAAATAAAAAGAATTAAAACTGTTACTACTGTATGAAATTATTGGTTATTATTTAAAAAATTTTTAGCACCAGCTAGAAAAAATACGGCAAAAACTAGCAAAATTATGATGATTATCACTTCAAATGATGTGAAATATAGAAGACTTCTGGTTTCAAGCCGGATGGAACTTCTGGTAGATCAGAAGGCTCAAAGAATTCAGCTGGAGGCCGAGGCAAAACACTTCTTCCAAAATCTGATGCTTGTCGGCGAAAGGTTCTACGAGTATTGACAATCAAACTAGAATTAGAAAATATAGCAAAGTCGCAAATAAAAAAGACAATTTCCACATTTAAACGAGTTAAAAGACATTAAAAATGAATTTAAGGAAATGTTTTACAAAATAATCGAGTCTTATTTTAAAGTAAACCTGGAAGACTTACTCCTTAGCGGCTGAAGCAAAATGGAATGGTCCAGTGGAATGACGACGCCTGAGCAGTGGACGAGTAGTTGACAGAAAACCTGCTGCATCATTCGTTAGTCGATGACCTTTTAACTAAAAAACCAGTGCATTAAACAGAATTCAAGATTTTTAAATCTACAGTAATACTCACTACAATACTCTTGTAAATCCTTTTCGGAGCAGAAGTCCAGTTGTGCTGCCTTCTCTCGTCTTGCGACATACGTGGCATTCCAACAGCAACCCGAGAACTAGTAGTTTCACCATCCGTAAAATCGTCATCAACTTCATATATGGGAGAGACACTACGATCATCTGCTGCACCTGAGATAAAGAATGACACTCCTCGAAGGGTAGCGAAAATGAGCAACAGATAAGAAAAAACTATAGATATTTTTATTTTTAATAACACAAAAAAAATTGATCTATCTAACCTTCATCATCAATAGTTCTTCCACTCTTTGCTGAGTAATAAGTAATGGAGTAGTAAATCGTTATCAAGCTCAGAATTAGCCCACATATTATTAACTGAAAAAACTAAAGACCTCCAAATTATCAACAAAAATCAAAAAGCAACTGGTAATTTATATAAATCAAAAGTAAAACAATAACGATGCTCATTCGCTGTTCATAGATAAAAACCTTAACGCTAAACGAAGAAAGTCGGCTGTAATCTCAAAAAAGCTCCCTAATTGTTTACTTCTCTGAGCCCAGTAAACGTCTATCTCGATAGAATATATTGTTTATAGGCTAACATTTCTCCTGCATGAGTCCTTGACTACTGTGTTACGCAGCAAAAAAGCTAATGCAACTTTTCTTCCTCTGTAAATAAAGAAGACGATTAAACCAACTGGATTCGAACAGCTTATTACCAGACAGTTTCTACAAAAAGGCCAGTCGGAAAGAAAAACCACACCTCATTACAGGGCTTTTATACACAAGCTTACATTCTAAAACCTTCAATTTACTTCTTAAAAGTTCAGTTTCGATATAACGCAAAAAAGATGCCTTTAATCGAGAACTGAGAAAATCCAGTCAATTACAAGCTCAGAGCTAACAGAAAACGACCGAAAAAAAAAACCGATGAGGTGTTCTTAGACAACCGCCATCAACAGTTACTTGAAAATACTTCTTGCTGAAAAACACCAAAAAATTGAAGCAGCAAAAATTTTACCTACAGAAAGTAGAGAGTTCCTAACTTGTTGCTCATCTTGTTATGTAGATAAGACTTTATTTCTAAAATGGCTTGGAGTACAGCGAAAAGACTGGTTCTTTCAAACTACAATCCGTTTTCGTTTCTTACCTCAACAGCTTTTAGGATCAGCAAAAAGAGGGTTGGCGATTCTCTAATCTCAGCTAATTCCCTGTATCTCGCATTCAAAAAAAAGTGAAAAAATATCATCCAGTGCTAATTTGAGGGCTTAGCTTCTCTTGTTGAACAACCGAGTTAATCATCTGCCATCTTTGCAGACTAGCAATTTTAGTTTAACCAAGTTTAACATTCACCGAATAATCTTTCTGGTTCCCTAGCAATTACCTTGTATATTATTTAGAAATTTGATGAAAAAATTTTAGAGAGGAACCGATACGATAATAATAAAAGATTAATGTTAATGCGTCTCTATTTATTCCAAATAATTTTTAGTTGCTTTACGGCTTAGAGAAAGTTTTTAAAAACGCGTCAATATCTGCAGGTAGTTGTATTCAAAATGTCCTTAAACTGTCTGCTTCTCGAAAGCAATAATATGACGCTAAAGAACGTTTAAACCATAGATACTAGTATAAGAAAAAGCAATAAAAGGCTCCTAGCAACTTTTAAGACAAAAGAATAACAAACAAAAGAATTGCTTTTGACAGATGGATAAATTCTTTCCATTAAAACCCCTGTCCTTTGGAAAAAACTGCTCCTTCAGAAAGCAGATATGTAGAAAATAAGATGAAACACGCTGAAATGTTTTTATTTTTAAAAACAAAGAGTGTGAACGGGGAAGCAGACGACAGTAAATTTAACAGCAGAAAAAAAAATAATGCAACAGAAAACCAGAATCGATGAAATAATTACAATAGTCGATTCAATGCAGACAAAAAACAAACTGAGAAAATCACTGCTTCCGTCAGAGCCTAATCATAGCTTTAAAAAAAAAGTTTAAAACAAAAAAAAAAA